ACTGGCAAAGAAACAGACCTGAAGACCAGTGGAACAGATGAGAAGATGCAGAAACAACTCCAGACACACTCAGCCACCTCATCTTCGACAAAGGAGCCAAACACCCTCACTCGGGGAAAGACAGCTTCTTTAACAAATGGTGTTGGAAAAATTGGGTTTCAACTTGCCAAAGATTAAATCTAGACCTATATCTCTCATCACACACTAAACTAAAATTGAAATGGGTTAAAGATCTAAATATTGAAAGAGAAACAGTAAAATGGCTAGAAGAGAGGTTAGGTAGAACTCTTGAAAACATTGGTGTAAGGAAAAGATTTTATGAACAAAACCTCAGTTGCCTGTGAACCAGCACAAACAATCAACAAGTGGGCTCTCTTCTTATTAAAAAGCTTCTGCACTGCAAGAGAAACCACCAATAGTGTGAAGAGACAACCCACAATGTGGGAAAAAATTTTCACCTGCTGTTCCTCAGACAAAGGTGTACTATGTAGAATCTATAAAGACCTTAAAAAAATCAGACCTCCCAAATTTAACGACCCAATCCAAAAATTGGCATCTAAAATGAACAGACAGTTCTCAAAGAAGTAGAAATAGCAAATAAACATATGAAAAAATGTTCAACATCACTGGTCATTTGAGAGATGCAAATGAAAACAACATTGAGATTCCCCTTCACCCCAGAAAGAATGACTGCTATCATGAAATCAACCAATAACAAATGCAGATGGGACTGTGGGGAAAGAGGAACACTGTTCCACTGCTGGTGGGAGTGTAGACTGGGGCAACCACTGCGGAAATCATATGGAGACAGTTCAAAGAACTAGGACTGGAAGTCCCATTTGACCCAGGTATTTGCCTGCTGGGTATCTTCCCCAAAGAATTAAAAGAATCGTACCACAGTGATATATGTGCACCCATGTTCATAGCAGCACAGTTTGTAATACCTAAAACTTGGAATTGCCCAACAACTGGAGACTGGATAAAAAAAATGTGGTTTTTTTAATAAAATGAAGTACTACTCAGCCATAAAAAATGAGAAATTAGAGACATTTATAGCGAAAGGGATGCACATTGAGGAGATATCTTAAGTGAAATAAATAGGACACACGTGTAAATACTGACATTTCTCTAGTGTGAGAAACTGAAGGTGTAAATGAAGGCTAAAAGGTATAATAGATAACGTGAAATAGGAAGAAAAGTGGCAAAGGGGAAGTGGGAGGGGTAGGGGAAAGGAAAGAAAGGAATGGAATATGAGAAAATGAAAAAATGGCACCAAAGTTTTTGTAAATGGCGAGGGATGGAGGGATTGAAGGGAGGGCAGGGGAATGGAAAAAGGGAACCAGGAAATGGGAAAAAGAAGAACCAGGAGAGATTATGTAAAGGTGCAAATTTCCAGTGATGAATGTCATTATATTGTATACCTAAAATGTACCAATAAAATTAATTTAAAAAAAAACTGGACAGCTGAAATAAATACTTCTCTATAGAAGAAGTACAACTCACCAATGAGTACATGACAAAATGTTCAACATCTCTGGCCATTTGCTAATTGCAAATTAAAACAACACTGAGATTTCACCTTACTCCAGAAAGAACGGCCATCGTCGAATGAAATAAATGCTGACAAGGCTTTGGGGAAAAAGGAACATTTCTATATTGTTGGTGGGAATGTAAAACAGCACAACCACTACAGAAATCAGTATGGAGATTCCTCGAAAACTAAAAAGAGAAATTTCATTTGGGCCAGCTATTTCCTTCTATCCTCCTAAAGGAGTTACAGGCATCATATTACAGTGATACATCCACACTCATGTTTTTGGGGGGTTTTTGGGGGGTTTTTTTGGTGCCAGGGATTGAACTCAGGACCTTGGGCTTGCAAAGGAACCACTAAGCTAAATCCCTGGCCCTTGCATACTCATGTTTATAGCAGCACAACTCATAAAAGCTATGTCTTGGAAGTGGCCTATATGTCCATCGACAGGTGAATGGTTAAAAACTGTGGTATTTATACACTGTGGAGTACTGCTCTGCTGTAAAGGATAAATTTGAGTCATTTGTAGAAAAATGAGACCACAGTCTTGAGACCATGTTAAATAAACCAGACACACAACCTTAAATATTGCATGGCTTCTCTTGCATGAGAAACCTAAAGAATAGACTATCTAAAGAGTAAAATAAAAGATAGGCAATAGGAAACAGGGAGATAGATCTTTTGTAAATGTGAAGTGGATCTAGAGATGGAGGGAGGAGGGAAGAAAGGAGGGAAAGGGAAATAAAAAGGATTAAGATTCATTATGTACATGTGCCAACTCTCTAAGATCACTGCGTACTGTAAATATGTGCTAATAAAAGAAAAGGAACAATGGGACCCAGCTTCTCAGATTCTCTGCTTTTCATTCTTGCCTCAGGATGAGGCGAGGCAGCTTTGCTCCTCTACATGTTCCCACTTTGATATGCTGTCCTGAGACAGAAATAAAAACAACAGTATCAACCAGTGAAAGCCTAAAAACTCCAAAACTGTGAGCCAAAATGAACTTTCCTCTTTATAAACTGATTTTCATATATTTGTTATAGTGATGAAAAGCTGACATACACTGTTACACAACCTTTAGTACAGTGCCTAATACATACTGAGAACTCAATAGTGTTCGTCATGGTATTATAACCACCTTTACATAAATGTCTGGAATGTTTCTGGGGAAAAATGTCAGACTCAGTCCATACAATGACATTATTTTGATAAATGTTTGAGGCATCTACAAAGAGCAAGATGTACTCGATAGCTCACTGTCAGCTGGTGACTTTTAACTCCAGTAGTGATAACAGCACAGGTCCACTTCAAAACCATGGGTGACCCTGTGCCCATCTGGGATTCAAAGGTTTGCCTTTTCACCATTGTCTGAGGAAGAGGATGAAGATGAACAAAAGGAACCTATGCTGAAAGAAAGCTTTGAAGGAATGAAAATGAGAAGTACGAAGCAAGAACCAAACGGAAATAGTAAAGTAAATAAAGCACAGGAAGATGATTTGAAGTGGGTAGAAGAGAATGTTCCTTCTCCTGTAACAGATGTAGTACTTCCGGCCCTTCTGGATTCAGATGAGGAACGAATGATCATACACTTTGAACGGTCCAAAATGGAGTAAAGAATGGGAAGATTTGCAGTCGAAGATGGCTAGTATCAAGGAAGAGATCAGCTTCTGTAAGTGTCTTCTACAGTGGTCTGTGGGATTAAAGGAGACACTGATATCCTAAAACAAAACAAAACAAAACAAAAAAACAACATACTCATGGTGTTCCGAGTTCCTACGTGGACAAGGTGGGCCTGAACTAGTTTTTGTCAGTAAGTGGAATTACAGAGCACCAAGCTGTCTGACCATTATTCCAGCCATCTGAAATATTTTTCACCATTTCAACGCTCCACAAAACATATGGAAAAAACAATTAAAATCACCTTTTAGGGTAAACCACAGTTAAGGTTTCCAATTCTTCATTTCTATTAAAGACTGTTGGGTCCTGTAAATGTAGGTGGAAGGGACACAAAAGTAGATCATAAGTTCCTGGGATTGCTGGGTGTGAGAGTTAACTTTATGTGTCAGCTTGGGTTACTCAGATAGCTGGTGAAACATTATTTCTGGATATGTCTGTGAGGGTATTTCCAAAGGAGGCTGGAATTTGAATTAGAAGACTTTGTAAAGAAGTCTGCCCTGGGCAGACATTGAGCAATCACCTGAAGAGAACAAAAAGATGGAGGGACAATTTGCTCAATTCTTGAGCTAAGATATTCACTTTTTCCTGTCCTAGGACATCAGAGCATCTGGGTCTGGGGACTGTTGACTCTAGGACTTGGTTCCCAGACTGGTAGCCCATTGGCTCCCAGACTGAAAATTACACTATCAGCTGCACTGGCCTTTGAGGTTGAACTGAATTACCACTGGCTTTCTTGTGTCCAGGTTACAAATAGTGTATTGTGGGACTTTTCAGCCTCAGTAATCATGTAAACTAATAAATCCCCTCATAAATCTGCATAGTCTGTTGGTTCTGTTCCTCTCAGAGTCCTAATATATTAGACAAGTCTCTTAATTATCATAGGCCAATTTTAATCCTAAGCACACAGATATCTTCAAAGAATAGCAGCAATAGGAAGCATTCAAATATGAGCTCACCTGGGTGCGCTCTTTGCTCCTTGGAAGTTATTACAGCTTACGGTTTTTCTCCTCTGACAGTCCTATCTATACTACCTTTACTTCTATGGAGGGAAGTTGTTGCAAGAGGTTAAAAACTACACAATTAGTTTGATAGTTCCATCTTTAATTTTCTCATTTTCTAATTGCAGAACAGGGTTCTTCTGAAAGGCCTGGGGAGAGCTTTGTAAGAAATATACTCAAAGAGGGCCGGGGATTTAGCTCAGTGGTTTCGCCACCTGCTGTGCAAGCACAAGGACCCAAGTTCGATACCTGGTACCAAAAAAAATATATATATATATATATACACATATACACACACACACACACACACACACATATATATATATATATATATATATATATATATACTCAAAGATACTCCAGGACTGTGGATATTCCATTTCAAGAAAAGATCCAAAAAGTAAAATATTTCCTTTTTCCATGGGCGAGGCTAGCTCCAAGAATCCTCAAGAGGAGCTTTTAATTTGGATACTAGGATATGGTGCTTTGTAGTTAGGTCTGTTGTGTTCTAAGGATCACTCTACTTCCTTCTCTCAAGTACCATTAGTAAAATGTTTGCCTAACATCCTAGTTATATCTGTGTAAATGGTGACCATAGTAGCAAACTCTTACAAGCAATTTCTGTTACAAAGTCAATCTCACTATCAGGTCCTGGCACAAAGGATCATCATTTTCTTTTTCTTGTTGGTTTTTCTTTGGTACAGGGGATTGAACTCGGGTCCTTGTGCTTGCGCAGCAGGTGGGAGGATCATCATTTTCATGTTCAGGTGTAGGAAATGAAAGGGCACAGAGGCTAGGTTTCAGAGTGATTTATTATTACATTATTATATTAGTGATTTATTACTACATAGAGAGACTGAGGTAGAAGTGAGATGAGAAGTTTCTCCTCATATCGGATGTGTAAGGTCTCAATACCACTTCATCTGTCAGTATACACTTTGAAGTTCCTGTCGTAAGTATAAACGAGAGAACTTGGGAACCGCCTTTGCAGTTTTGGGGGGCAAATGTGACCAAGGTTGGCTGAATCAAGATTTAAAATAGGGAGCTGTTGGCTGACTTGGTGACATAAGTGAAATCAGTAGTTCAGGCCTTGTATTTCCAAAACCCACTTTTAAAATCACAATGTTTGTGGGCTTCAACATGCTGCCTCTCAGAGCTTTGTGCAAATGAAAAAATAAAAAACAAAAACAAAACAACAAAAAAAGCAAAGAAAAGAATACGACTCTTCTCAATGAGTAAAGGTTTAACGCCTGGACTTGTTTCTTTTTTTTGTTACCGGTAATCAAACTTGGGACCTTATGCTTGCGAGGCAGGCGGTGGAACCACTGAGCTAAATCCCCGGCCCTGGACTTGCTTCTTATTATATAAGCCAACTGTGCCTCCCGAGCTTCCCTTTCTGCATATGGAAATGGGGATTCCTCTCCTATATATTTCACAGGAGGCTGGTGAGACTAAATTGAGATGAATGCAAAAAAGTGCTAATTAAGAATATAATTCAGGAACCTGGACTCTCGTACCATGAATGAATCAAGTTGAAATAATGAAATGTTTTCAGAAGAGAGTATTCCACATATTTCAATTAGGAAGTGGACCAATATTTGCTGGAATGATCAGTGTGGTCCCTGGACAAGCAGCTTAAATGCACTAAGGCGGGCAATATCTCAGTGACAGAGGAACTATACATAATAATCAACTCGTTCTTATGAGGTGTTATGGTTTAGACCTAGAATGTCCTCTAAGCCTCATGCATTCAGAGCTGTTTTAGAAGGTGACTGCATCATGGGGCGCCACACTCATCAATGGATTTGTTCACTGATCAATCCATGCTGAGTGTGCTGTAGAAGGTTGGGCATGGTTGGGGTGGGCCACTGGCACTGTGACCTGGAAGGGTACATTCTTATCCCTGGCTCTTCTTTCCCTCTCTTGCTTCCTGCCCTGTATGACATGAGCAGCTTTCCTCTGCCAGACCCTTCTACCCTGCCCCTCCTGCCTTGAAGCCAGCTGACTACAGACTGAACCCTCTAGAAACCATTAGCCAAAATAAACTATTCCTCCTTTAAGTTGTGGGTGTCGGGTATTTTGTTCCAGTGAAGGGAAAGTGACCAAGACAAAACCTGAATAAAACTTGGACCAAATGACATCCCATGGATTTTAAGTCTAAGACCTCAATATACTGCTTTTTAAAAAGGTTTGCTTAAGTGAACACATGTTATAATAAGTACTCAAGGAAGGAAACACACATCCTATCCCACTTCCCAAGTTACTGCTCACTTCAATCACATTTGTGTAGATACATTCAGATCAAGGAGCATGCCTCAAATAATTGGGATTCACACAGCTATGCCTTCTTTAGTATTTTTTGTTTTCTGATCACATGTCATCAATGAGATTCAGAATATTATTTGAACACTATAAAACTTCATTCATCAAATGAGGCTAATAATCAGCTATACAAAATTAAATGATTCAATGCCCCCAAATGCAAGATACAGATCCTTTTGTGATTAGTTTGAAGCTTCCTATAGAATCCCCACCAATTTCTTCACCTCCTGGATCACAGGATATGCTAATTCTTTGGCTTTTGCTGATCCAGTGCGTAGAATCTTCTCTAAATAGTCCTTGTCCATCTTCAGTTTTTCAATTTCACTCTTAATTGGAGCAAATTTCTCAATGACAGCATCTGCCACTATCTGCTTATAGTGGGCAGTGTCGATGCCCACGCTGCCGTGGACCACTTCCTCCACTGAGAGCCCCGTGACTGCAGCGTGGATTGCCACCAGGTTGGAGACGCCCCCTCGGCTACCAGGGTCGTAGGTGACTTCAGAGGTGAAGTCTGTCACAGCCTTGCGGAATTTATTCACTATCTCCTCTGGGCTGTCTGTAATCCGCACAGTGGCCAGTTTGTCAGGGTCTGATTTTGACATTTTGGCAGAAGGGTCACGGAGGGATTTCACCTTCTTCATGGGTGCTGGGTAAAACACCAACACACACATGCCAAAAAATGAAAACAACAAACAAATCACCAAGATTGTCACCAAGCAGATCTTAAAAACACCAAGGATACCAAGTAATTATCATTTTACCTGATTATACAAATGACAAATACTCATTGTGAAAAACTCAAGCAATGTATGAAGGACCATCTGACTCATATGATAACACCATTAACATTTTGTTGATATTTTCAACCATCTTTTAATGTACACAGCCACATAAAAATGTAAAATCGTACACAAATAAAATTATGTCAACCATTCTGCTTTGCAGTGTACATTGTTTAAAGTATTACTCCTCCTCTCTGCTCTACCCTATTAGTAACTTCTCTCTACCCTTCCTGCACCCCCAACCAATTTTAACAATCTGCGGCAATTCTAACATCTTCTTACCCAGGATTACTAAGTTTCACACACACACACACACACACACACACACGACTTATTTATTGCTCTGATAGCATCAAGATGCTAATTTGTGCTTCATAAATCCATGTTGTTATTATTAGCAATTGTCTATTTCATGGCTATTATACAAACATATAAAATTGAAATAAGTAATATAATAATAGGTAAAAACATTAAAATCTTATTTATTGCTAAAAGGAGGTTGATTTAAATGTATGAGGTTCTCTATTTATTGTTGTAAATTATTGGATTAAATCCATTTATACTGGATTTATGTTTCTAATTGATACTAGCTAGGCACATATTATCCTCCTTTCAAATGCTGTCAGCTTAATAAAGACAGTGCTCAGGTTCCATAATCTCTGCCCCTGCCACAGGTTTACAATGCTATCCAAATGCTGACAGAGATTTATGGCATCTTTCCTGAAGAAGTTACCCAGAATAGCATAGCATCAAAGGCTGAGTCTGACAGTTCAGATCCAGTAGGTACATTTGTATGTTCTCTCTGTCTCCATTGAGGAAGATAGAGCGTGAGGATTATGGATTCCCTCTTGTTTTATCTAGATCATAACTCAGCAGTTCTCACTCTTATGACTTATTTTACTGTATTTAGGAAGGCAAGGTACACAGAAGAGTTCAGGGTATGACCAAACTCTGATGTTAAGCAGATATAAAGTGGGACACAAAGTGAGCTTTACCAAGCCTTCGTTTCCTTATCCGTTTAAGGGGGAAAGATATCTGCTCCATCAAATAAAATTTTATATATGCATGATTATATAACATATACACAAAATTATATAATGCCTTATACATTAAAACTATTATTTTTAGTTTTTAACTTCTCCCATACTAACTGTACAGTTTTAATTACGTTTTTCAATAATCCAATGTAGTCTAGTAGTCCTGACAAAATGATGAAGATTCTACTTATAAATCCTTAAGACTGTCCACCAGAAAGTCAAGTTTAGTACCAAGACAGTCCCAAGCCTCTGTCTTTAATCCAGTCCTCTCTTCAAAACATGGTCTGATTTAACAGTCTCATTTGTTACTTACTTAAAATGGACTGGGGCACTGGAAAGAAATGCCCATACTTCTTGTTGAAACCTTGTGCTAGATCTTGAACTAGTTCCATGTGTTGGACTTGATCTTCTCCAACAGGAATGTGTGTGGACCTTTAATAAAAGACAGACAAGAAAGCTCAGCAAGGCTCCTTCTTAGACAGAAATGGTACTGCAAGCAGCTGCACTTCCTGTGACCACTTCCCTGTTGGTGTTCAACAAATGTTCACCAACCACAGAGGGAATTTGAGACCCAAGTCTATATGTGTCTATCAGATGAATAGTGAAAAGATGTTTGTCTATTCTGGTTCTGTTTCTTCCATAGCGAGAAATACAGCCATCAACACCAGCGTGACAGCATCTTGCTGGGAGGGATGAACGCGATCTTCAATAGCATATGCTGCACACACAACTGTATTTTTTTTTTTTGGTACCGGGGATCGAACTTGGGTCTTTGCGCTTGTGCGGCAGGCGGCGAAACCACTGAGCTAAATCCCCAGCCCTGTGGCTTTTTTCAAATAAGATAATTTTCCTTCTTGATAGCTGACTCACACCACAAAACACTCACATCACAAATGTCAAGACAAAATCCAAGAGGGGATCACAGTGCTGGGCAGCAGCCTTGCTATGGGTGCAAGACATACTTGAAACTGACAGTTCGTGTACTCGATCAGGTGATCCTACAATATAAACAGAATGTTATGGGAATTCTGAGAGCTCTTTTAAAAATTTAAGGAAAACAGTTAAAGAACAAGGGATGGAAAAGAAAACTGCAGGGACAAGGACTGCAATGAACAGCGCTTTCTTGTCTTTGAAAGTCAGTAAATGAATACTGTAAGAAATTCTATGAAATGATTGTGAGGGCCATGTCCACACAGCCTGGAGCAGAAAGTCCCTGGCTAGTAAATGATGAAAGCAAAAATGCTCCTTTTCCTCTCCCTTCAAACACCCTGCCTAGGACTGTACAGTGCACCTCTCTGGGTTATACAAGCACAAGTCCCACCTTTGTAAGTTTCTTCTTTGGCCGGATCTTGCTATTCCTGTCTGGTAATTATAGTAAGGTTGACATGCTCAGATCATTTTGACTGCCCCAAACCAAATTAGCCAACAGAGCAGGTTAAAAAGCAATTACAGTAGCCCATAGGAAATCACATGGACTGCAACTAACACAGAAAAAACAATTACCATAATCAATACACTTTAAGCACATCAAAATGAATATTTCCACATGTCAAAATGGTTCCAGATTCACAAAGCAACCAAACTAAACAGAAAACACATTTAGTTTTCATAATGATGCCCTGTGCATCTCGCCTTATGTGAGATCCTTGCCTCTTTTCTTAGTTCTGAGGGGTTTTGATTTTTGAAAAAAGGATTTCAAAATTTTAATGTTTTTCACCTGGGCTTATTGCTTCACGTGGCTTTTGCATCTGACTTTCGTTTGTTTGTTTCTGGTCTTTCCTCCCTCTGCTCCTGCTGCTCCTTTCACCTCCTGTAATTTATTTTGGCCTTTACTTCTCATCCACTGAGTTTGCACTCTATATTAATTCAGCCTGTCTTTGATTCTCCTCACTTATGGGGCTTATTCTCTTTACATTTTCAACCTCTCTCCTCATGGTCTTCCTTTCACTTCAAATAATTTAGTGCTGTTCTTTAAAAATTTATACCCAACATAATGATATCCATATTAATATGTCTACTCTTTTTCTCCATTTTCTTTTTTCTCTTACCCTGACTCTGGTTTCTTAAGTACAACATAAAGCAAAAGTCTTTCATAATTTTGACTGTTATAACCTCTGTCACATAATAATGGGTCTGATCTTCCTCTTTGGTGACTAAATCATTTTTCTTTCACTTAGATTTTTATTGCATCTAGTTTATTTGGGATCTAGCCCCATCCCTCTGGCAGAATTAGTGTCCAGATGAATAATCATTGCCTACAAATATCTGCTTGCAGAGATTTATACTTTCTTTTTTCCCCCTACTTCCTTGGCTGTGTTTGCGAGTTTTCAGCACTACTGCCTTTCTTTACCCAGCCTGGCCAAGGCAGGAGTCTGTGTGTCTTTCCTGTCATAAAGCATTGATCCCTCACCACTGCTTGCTTTTTGGATTTGGGATAATGAGTCTAACTCAGCAATCATTTATTGAAAACACACAGGTGAAAGGCCTGGTGTTGGGTGCTGTGAGAGATATAATGAAGTTTTACCTTCTTCAGGAGGAGAGATACTGAGTGGAGCTATAAATTCTTTTGCCTATTCCTCTCTGGTGTTCTCATTTCAGTGCATGGCAAGACCAGTTGCATGAGTTGCAACCCAGTTGCATGAGAAAAGTGTTCTCATTTCTGACACTCCACTCTTGTCGCCTATTAAGGTCACCATGAAGTCCTATCAGTGTGATCTCCTCAAAATTTCTCACATTTGGCGGCTTCATTTCCTCTTCATTGTCACAAACAAAGTCTAAATTAGTGAAATAGCCTCTGAATTGGTTGTTGAGCTACTCTTCTCCTGTAACTCATTCTCTATATTTTAACCAGTTATCTTTTGTAAAGTATAAGTCATGTCAAATTCACTCTATCCTTAAAATGTACAAATACCTCCCTACAACTTTTGGAGAGTGAACTGGATTGCTCCTTGACATCTCAATCCTTTCCCTTCTATGCTGTCTTCTGATTTTCAGGGTCTAGCAGTCTGGGAACTATATGTCTCAGATTTCCTCTCCATAGAAATTTGATTCAGTGTGGTACTTGCCCAATAGCAAGAAAGAAGAAATGATTTCTGAAGCAGTGTGAGCAAATATGTGGGTAATTGGCAGAGTAAAGAAAGGAGGTTTAGGCAGCAGCCTTCACCATCTCATGAAAGTTCAGATCCCTCAAAGAATGGATGGGATTCAAGAACCAGAAGTCTCCAGAGCAGTGTTAGGAACTTTAAACATTTAATATCACCTCTCACAAAGCTTATTTTTAGTGGTAGTGGTCTGACCCACAGACATTACAAGGACTCATCTCTACTCTTACTCTACCAGACTGATCATTGTAGTCTCTATATTCTGTTTAGGGTTTGGTTTGTGTTATGGCTTGGATCTTAAATGTCCCCCAAAGGCCCATGTGTTGAAGGCTTGGTTGCCAGCTCGTGATGCTACTGAGAGGAGGAGGAGGAGCCTTTAGGAGGTGAGCTTAGTGGAAGGAAGTCCAGCCACTGGGGGCATGCCCTTGAAGGGGACAGCAGGACCTGATCCCTCATTGTCTTTCTTTCTTTTTTTTTGTTAAATTCTTTTATTGGTACATTGTAGGTACACAACACAATTACATTTCTCATTGGGAATTGTACCTTTACATAATGCATCTTGGTTCTTATTTTTTCCCCAGTCCTAGCCCTCCCTTCACGCCCTCCACCCTTCCCTATTTACAAAGACTTTATTTCCATTTCTCATCATTTTTCCTTTCCCTTCTTTCCTTTCCCCTGCCTCTCCCACTACCCCTACCCCTTTGGACCTTTTCCTCCTATTCTGCATTATCGAGTATTCATTCTAATCATTGCTACATTTTAGGTATACAATATAATGACATTCATCATTGGAAATTTGCACCTTTACATAATCTCTCTTGGTTCTTATTTTTCACCCTTGCCCAGCCCTCCCTTCAACCCCTCCAGTCCTCCCTATTTACAAAGATTTTGTTCCTATTTTTCCATTTTCTCATATTAATTCCATTCCCTTCTTTCCTTTCCTCTACCCCTCCCACTTCCTTCCCTTTTGCCCCTTTTCTTCCTATTTCACATTACCTATTATACATTTTAGTCCTTATTTACACTTTCAGTTTCTCACACCAGAGAAACTATTTGGTATTTATACATGTGTGTCCTATTTATTTCACTTAAGAGTATCGCCTCAATGTGCATCCATTTAGCTATAAATGTCTCTAATTTCTCATTTTTGATGGATGAGTTGTACTTCATTTTATAAAAAATAAAAAACCCACATTTTCTTTATCCAGTCTCCAGTTGATGGGCACTTGGGCTGTTTCCAAGTTTTAGCTATCACAAACTGTACTGCTATGAACATGGGTGCACATATATCACTCTGGTATGATTCTTTTAATTCTTTGGGGAAGATCCCCAGCAGTGGAATAGCGGGGTCAAATGGGACTTCCAGTCCTAGTTCTTTGAGGTATCTCCATACTGATTTCCACAGTGGTTGCACCAGTCTACACTCCCACCAGCAGTGGAGCAGGGTTCCTCGTTCCCCACAGCCCTACCAGCATTTGTTATTGGTTGATTTCTTGATAGCAGCCATTCTTTCTGGAGTGAGGTGGAATCTCAGTGTTGTTTTCATTTGCATCTCTCCAATGACCAACCAGTGATGTTGAACATTTTTTCATGTATTTATTTGCTATTTCTACTTCTTTGTCTGAGAAATGTCTGTTCATTTCAGATGCTCATTTTTGGATTGGGTCTTTAAATTTGGGAGGTCTAATCTTTTTAAGTTCTTTATAGATTCAAGATAGTAGACCTTTGTCTGAGGAAAAGCAGGTGAAGATTTTTTCCCACATTGTGGGTTGTCTCTTCACACTGCTGGTGGTTTCTCTTGCTGTGCAGAAGCTTTTTAATAAGAGATCCCACTTGTTGATTGTTTGTGCTAGTTCACGGGCAACTGAGGTTTTGTTCATAAAATCTTTTCCTACACCAATGTCTTCAAGAGTTCTACTAACCTCTGTTCCAACTGGTTCAGAGTTTCTATTTTAATATTTAGATCTTTAATCCATTTCAATTTTAGTTTAGTGCATGGTGAGATATATAGGTCTAGTTTCAATCTTTGGCAAGTTGAAGCCCAATTTTTCCAGCACCATTTATTAAAGAGGCTGTCTTTCCTCCAGCCTCACTGTCTTTCTTGCTTCCTGGATGAAATGAGGTGAGCAATTTGCTCCCCTGTGTAATCTGCCATGATGCAATTTTTCACCACAGCCCAAACTTATGGGGCCAAGAGACCATGGGCTGAGTGTTCTAAACAATGAGCAAAACTAACCTTTTTCTCTCTTAAATTGATTTATCTCACATATTTTGTCACATCCCTGGAAAAGACACTAACAGTTTGGCTTTTACTTAGTCATAGTTTCTTGAGGCCTCTGTTTCCTCATTTTCCTCTATCATTTCAGATTTTGCTTTCACAGTCTACTTATCCTCTTCTTCTATTTTTCTGTTCAAATTCTTGAGGATGATCACCTGATCAGCTGAGGCACTCACTCCCATCTCTATGTGAATAGATTTAGCAGTTCTTCCCTGAAATGTGATTTATCTGTAAAATGGGGATAATACCACCTTACCTATGTTACAGAGCTACGGTGAGAATTTAAATAGATAATATATGTGTAGCAGATATTATGATGCCTTCAAATACTATTCAGCATGTTGTTAATCCTTCCTTCTCTTTCCTTCAATGTCATGGGTAGTGCCTTTTCTAGATAGTGGAATTACAGGTACTGAACAAATACTTGGTGAATACAAAAAAAATTGTGTGGGTGCGTGCACACATGTGTGTTGTGTTGTGTGTGGATATATATGGAGAGGGAGAGAGAGAGATTAAGATTTACTTAATATATAGCCAGCTATTTGAAATTAGGCATTCAGATAAATCAAAAGATGCAAAATAAAAATGAGCACTTGCTATTCTTGAATATTTTATCTTCCTTCAAATATCTGATATTTATCATGCTTTCAAGGTAAAGATGCTTGCAGCTTTCCATTCCTGAGTTAATTATCACGTTTTACGGAGAAAATTATGCAAATCTTTTGTAAGCCTGTCTGGAAGGCTCCCTTTCTACTTTCCCTTGTGTTTGCCCTCTGGCTGACCATGCCACTCATTCTAATGTTGATTTTGACAAAAGCAAACATGAAATTGATATGTGACTTGTATCGACATTTTATGAAGAGGCCACACAGATATGCTGGTAGAAAAAAAAGAAATACAAATATTTCATCCACTTTTCAATCTATCAACCTACATTTATAATGTAAATATTCATAGATATTCCGGCCTTTTCAAAATCCAGAAATATCTGAAACAAACAAAAACAAATAAAAAGTACCCCCAAGTGCACAGGTGGTTCAGCCTGATTGCACAGGAGGGCACTGTCAGTCTGTTTCTCTTAAAGAACATCAAGATGTCTACTCTATGTCTATGTCTAATTGTGGAATTAGATATGGCAGATAATTTCTAGGGTAAGTGGCAGACAGTATCTTGAATATAGTTTTATATTCATTATATAGTTTCACAGAAAAACATTTTTACCTGTTTGAACAAACTGTCTCTAAAATACCAGAATGCTGAAGAGGGACTCTACCACTACTATCCTCCTTTTGAAGATAAGAAGAAGAAAAGCATCTTATGCCCTTCTCAGAACATATCCTAACCACCAAATAAATGAGTAAAAGTTAAAGCAAGAGTGTTCATTCACAGCACAGGAAGCTCTGTGCTGTGGGAACTGGTTGGGAGAAAACTGAGGCTGAAAAAGAAATGTGTATCCTTAGAAACATGAACATTTTTATGGGAGAATCCTACTGATGTGGAAGGGACAGTGGGACAGAAAAGAAATTGTCAGAACACTCTTAAGGTTTACCTGCCACATCTGAAATACCTATTGTTTTAAATAAGATAAAAGGCCATTCATAACCTCAGGGACTGCTTTAAAGAGGGCAGCATATAAAACAGGTTTTGAGATCTTAAGAAGCTATTTTTGCCAATGTCAGCCTTTTAAAAAATTCTTCTTCTATCCTAAAATTTTTGGAATGAGTTTACACTAGGTGATAGCAATTCATCCATAATTTGCTTCATAATTCCCTTAGTTATGTCCCATTAATGTACTTTATAAGTAAGAGAATATAGTATTTTAACATTCTGCTAATTGTATTTTAGGGAATTGATAAGAATATACAGTAGTTACCCATTATCCATGGTTTCCATTTCAGTAACTTGGGGTCAACTATGGGACAAAAATATTAAATGGAAAATTCTAGAAATAAACAACATGTAAGTTTTAATGTGCATGCTGTTCTAGGCAGTGTAATCAAATCTTAACACTGTCCCCCAGATCTGTTCTGCTCAAGATGCGAAACATCCCTTCGTCCACAACCAGCCTATGAATGGCTTGGGAGCCATCTAGGTTATCGGATCAACTGTTGTAGTGTCACAGTGTTTATGTTCAATAACCCTGATCTTAATATGACCCAAAAGCACCAGGACAGTGATGCTAGCAATTCAGAAATGCTAAAGAGAAGTCATAAATGAAAAGATGAAAGTTCTTAAGGAAAGGAAAAGAATCACAAGGTGGGTTTTCTAATATCTATAGTAAGAACACATCTTCTATCTGAGAAAGTATGGAGAAAGAAAGTGAAATTTGTGCCAATTTTGCTGCCATACCTCAAACTGCAAAAGTCTGTGAGCTCATTTATCAAGGGTGTGATACACTTTGTCATTCACCTCCTCTGCTTCATCTTGGAGGCATTGTATCATCTGACATCCTCAAAAGGATATGTAGCCCAAGATATTCTGAGACAGCTCACACTCACATAACTTTTATTATAGTATAATAATATAACCTTTATTTTATTATTACTATTCATTCCCTATTGTGTGCTATTTATAAATTGAAATGACCATAGCGATGTATGTGCTACAGTTTGGACACCTTTCCTCGACATTTCCATAAGTGAAGAGCTTGTTCCCAGGGTGGTGCTACTGGGAGGTGCTGCGGATCTTTAGGAGGTGAGGCCTTATAGTCTGTGACTAGGCCACTGGACCATGCCTGTGCAAGGAACTGAGGGACCCCTATGCCTTTTGCTTCTATTCTCTTGCTTCCTGGCCAAGAAGTGAGCAGCTTGCATCACCATGCGGTTCCTGTCCTTGCCATCTGGCACCCACAGAAGCCCAAAGCAAGGAGTCTGCCCTATTTTGGACTGGAACCTCTAAAACTGTGAGCCAAAACAAATTTTTTCTCTTTATAAGTTAGTTTTTTTAGTTCTATTGTTATAGTGATAAAAAGCTGACTAACAAGGTTTGTATAGGAAAAGACATGGTACATGTAGGGTTTTGGAATCCCCTGGGAGTCTTGGAATGTACATCGTGCAGAGAAGGGGGAGCTAGTATATTCACCATGTGATATTGTATTGTTTTGGCTATTTTACGTGATAATGCTGTTTCCTGTCATAACTACTGGTTTACCACTAACCTCAGCAGACCACTGAACATGCTCTGATGTTCCTCTGTGGGCTGAGTAGTCATAGGTTCTTAAGCTTTTTGGCCTGCATCTGTAAAATGGAATTGATGAAGAAGCTCCTTAAAGTTACTTCCTACTCCATGCTCCATGGTATCATACAGAGGGCATTTACTTTTGTTAACAGTTACACTTTTTCACAGTCTTCAACTCGGAGAACTCTCCCATTATAGCTCTTGAACTATTATGGAAATCTACTGTGCTTGTGTCTTTGCACATTCTCCTGGTGAAAAGTCTTAGTTTTTGGTTCTGTAAAGAAGTAGCCTCTATAATCAGAATTACACATAAAATTGTAATCATCAAAGACATAATTACTGTCAATCATAAAAAAGTAACAGCCCCCTGTCACAGTACTTCTTGACCCATACTTCATTTTAATTCTAATACTCTCAATAAAATAAATTATTTCTACTTTATGAATGTGAAAATCAATATTTTTTATAGAATTTATAAAGTAAATATCTTCCTTCCTTAGGAAATGCATTATTAGCTTTCTTTTGTTATCTATTTTCACAATGTTATCAGATTTACATGCCAAGAATTCTAATTCTCATGGCCTTAGTAGAAAGGGGATGAAAATACATTCCTGAAGTCCTGTTCTCTCTAACTCTACTCCAAGCTTTCATAACAAGAAGGCTAAAGCTGTAGGTGTACAGTGACTGGGAAGTTTTATCTCTAGAAAGTGATATGGTGCCAAGGGAGACAGATGAGGGGAGAGCAGGGAGGAATTAGGAAGGGATGAGATCAGAAGTCCATGGCAGCAGAGTGGAGTGCAGGGTGGGTATTCTTTGTTGTGTATTTCTGAGGCCCACAAGCAGTAGCTGAAGAGATGAATTATGGGTCTAGGAAACATAAGGAGTTACTGTATATCCTGTTCAAAAATTTATTCTCAACCTATAGGTCTAATACAGCAGTTACTAGCTGCTGGTGAGTCTTTACATTTAAATTAATTAAAGCTAAATAAAAATTTAATGCTTATGCTTTAGTAATGTTTATGCTTTAGTAATGCAGTCAGAGAGGAACTGTAACACTCACAACATTCCAAAGGCTCTATAGCTACATGTGCCTAGTGGCGACAGAATTAGAAAGTACAGCTGTAAAACGTTTCCATATCATAGCAAATTCTATTGAACAGCACTGTTTTATAGTCCAGATTATGTAAGAAATCAACATTTAAAACTGCTGACATTTAATTGTTACTAGGGAAATATATATCACAGAGTGAGTGAGGAAGAAATATACACCGAATAGAAATATAGTTTGGCATAGACCTAAGAAATATATATGGCACAGTGCTTAAGAGCAAAGCCTGAGGGAATATATATGGGATAGTGTTTAAGAGTATAGACTTTGTACTTGAACGTTTGGGACTCAAATCCTGACTCTATAAGTTTTGCAAGGTACCTGACCCTGGGCCCAGCATTAAACACTCTGTGCCTCAGTTTCCTCATGTGTAGAGCAGGAATGATAGTAGCATAAATTTTTCAAGGCTGTTGTCAGGATTAATGTATATAAAGCTTCTACAACATTTTCAAATACATAGCATGCGATACTTAAGCGTTAGCTCTTAGTGTTCCCATTTTCTCTTTGGAGCACACTTCTATGATTTAGTCCCTATTACTAAGGAATAGACAAACCTATTCACAGGTCTGATCCTTTCTGTGTCCCCTTCCCCATGAGCCAAGCCTTTGTTTTGAGTGTTAAAATACTCTCTTGTCATCATGAGTATATGTGAGACCAAAGGTGGCCTTTCTTCTTACTTGTAGGACAGAACATCAGCTGCCTGGAGTACTGGATATGTGAGCAGACCCATCATTCCATCATGCTTCTGCTGGGCAGCCTTCGCCTGTAGGGGATGAAAAGAAGAGGGGCAGAACTCTGAGCTGAACTTAATGATATTGCTCATTTAAGAAGTTTGTAAAGTAGGTGAAGTGTGATCTGAAGCCACCTGTAATAACATACAATCTCAGTTCCTTTTAGCAACTATCTTCTGGTAGGCTTGTCTTCAGGCTCCAGACTTACATAGGAACAAGGTAACTGTGCTTTTCCACTGTTCACTCATTTATCCATCCATTCATTCACTTATTTATGGTACTAGGGCCTGGACCCAGGGTAGCTCATGCTACTCACACATTCTACCACTGAAATACACCTCTGGTTCCTTGTCCCTTGAAAGGATCCTCAACTGTCACTGTTTCTTATTTATTTCATTAAAGACAAGGAGTTTTCTAGGTTCTAAATCAGATAAAATTCAGATTTCACAGATAAGGTCAGAAATTATCATGAGAGTGACTTTCTAAAGTTAACATGAGTTAGTATCCCTTTTACTACAATGTCCATGATAGAGGCTAGTTCACAACTACAACTGGGTAAAGATTATGAAAGTTTAATTTGGAAATCGGCCAATGAGCTCTTACCAGATCTTCCTCTGGCACTGGAATCCTGGCCTTAGAGCATTCTTCACAGTTTATAGACTACCTTTGTCGGTCCATCTTGCTAACTACTATATCTCTTGCACCTACCATGACATAAGATTTGCAGAAATCATCACCAAAATTTGTTAATGAAGTCCTGACCACAGAAGGCAAGAACATGTGCTGAGACAAGGCTGAGATGTGAAGTCCATATGTTTCCCACAAGTAAGAAATCACTGACTAGTGGAAAGGTTTCTCCAGAAAATCAGTTTATTTACTAGTAATATGCAATCAGGAGACCCTTTCAAACCATTTTCAAGGAGGAACAGTAACTATTAAATTAATACTCAGCTCCTATAAAAAAGATTTCAGCATTAAACGTAGTGGTAGATTATTATGATACAATGGGAAAGTTTTGCCTAAACCAAAATATGGTAGAGAATGTTATAAAATGTTGTTTTTAATTCCTGGCAGGTAATGAATCCACAGCATTACCAATATTATCTTATTTATTTAGTGTCTTAGTCTATTTGGCCTTCTGTAACAAAATATCCTACGCTGAGTGGCTTATACACAACAGAAATTCATTTCTTGCAGTTTTAGAGGCTGGGGATTCCAAGGTGAAGGCGGAGTTAGTGTCTAAGGAGGGCCTACTCCCTGGCTTCGCAGTGGCGACTTCTCTGTGTTCTCACACTATGGACGGGGCAGAAAGTCTCTCTGGAGCTTCTTACACCTTTTATAAGAGCTCTACTTTCAGGATCACCTCCCAAAGGCTCTACCTTTAGGGATTAGATTTCAACAGGTACATTTTAGCGGGACACAAATATCCACACCACACCATCCAGGTTCTGTCACTTCAGAGCACCTTTTCCCCCTGCAGCATATGTGAAGGCTTCTGAAGAGCAACTCCTGAGGAAACCAGTGGCCCTGAAAATATGCTCAAAGGTGCTTAAAACTGAAATTAGTGTTGACATAGTTGGTGGCTACCTACTGTTAAGTTATCCAATTGCAAAAATAAAGTACTATGAATTATCCAATTTATCTTTCTCAGTTGAACATCTTACAAAAAGTACAGCCTTAATTTTTCTGTGGGTTTGAAATGTTGCCTAGACTAAACTTGTTTAAATATTAAATAAAATATGTTTTCTCATCTCCCCACAAGAAAATGTTTTTGCCTTATTGCCAGTTAATTCCAGTGGTGATGAGAGGCAACTCTGGGGTCTAAATCCAGACGTTGGAGTTTGAAACTTGGGATTTCAATAATCCTGAAATTGTGGTTGCTTGTTAAATATAATGTGGTAGGTACAAAATCATCACGTTGATTGAAACACAGATAAGAACATATAACTAATGGTATTTTTAAGTCAGAAGGAATCTTGGAGACTGTTTCACTTTCCACTTAATATCCTGAAGCAGAGAAAGATGTTATACTAGCCATTAGTGGGTAGCAGACCAGGGAAGAAAGTAAATTCAAGATTCCCAGAGCCTGACACAATAATAAGCAGAAAGTGGAAAATTGCTTCCTTTCTGTTTGTTAATCAGATCATTGGATTTACCTTCCACTGGTGTAAATGTTGTAATCGAGGCAGTCTGACCATGCAGGTAAGGATCCAACTTAACTGTGTGTGTTCAGACACCTAAAGAAATAAGATAGTATGTTAACAAAGGTGAGCAATATTTTCTTGAACATAAGCAAAACTAAAGGGTGATAGGTATTATCTTAAATGGCTAGATACACCCCAAGTCAAGGTTATTAAAAGGAGAGATAAAGGGGGTTTAGCTGTGATTCATGATAGATTTTAGGTAAAGAAGAAATTATAAAAGCTAACTGATACACCCAGCAATTTAGTGTTAAATCTTCTCTACACTACCCCAGCAAGGTATGACCAGAGTCTGCTACAACATCTCAGTGAGACGGTCATTATGTCCTGAGGAATTCAATGCACCTTTTAAAAAGTTAAGGGGGCTGGGGATTTAGCTCAGTGGTTCCAGCGCCTGCCTCGCAAGCACAAGATCCCGAGTTCAATCCCCCCATACCAAAAAAAAAAAAGGTAAGCTTATTAAGTAAACTCTGTCTCTCTCCCTGCACTCCAGGTCTTTTCTAATCAGCTTTGAAATACACTTAAAGATTGAATTCCTTAGCTCTAGAGTGATTTGAAAGTTAGGAATGATTTTACCATCCCATCATTCCAAAGGGTATTTTTATAATCGCTAGCTCCTTCTCTTCCTCCTTTTTCTTTTCTTCATCTTTTTTTCTTTTTTCTCTCTTTTCACTTTTTTTTTTAATAGAGGAGATCTAGTCAGAAAAAAAAATACTTTCCCCAATTCATTTTTATTTGAACAAAATTTGGTCAAATAACCAAGCCTAGCAACAACTGGGATGATTCTTGGGTCTAAGCCATGTTCTAACTGAGGACCTACAATTTCAGTTCTATGTATCCCACTCCTGGGTCTTGGGGATTCCTAGCTCTTCACTGATTGTGGCTTTTTTTGTATCCATATGATTTCCTTAAAAATCAGAGACTGTTGCCAATTCTGCAAAGTGGCCCCAAATGTGTTCTTTGTGGATTTTGCAAAAGGAACATAAAGGAATGGAAATGAACCAGCCCTGGCCTTTTTTATCGTCATCTGGCGTAAGATACTCTTTTTTTTTTTTTCCCCTGCAGTTACAGAGAGGGAAGAGTTGTTTTTCATGTGTTTGACAAGGAATCACTTTGAAAGTTTAGCAGGTTGCTAGGCTGAGTCTGTCATCTTTCTTCCAAGAGCCATTTGGGTTTCATTGAGGACAATGACTTTGACAGCAGTGTCCAACCAAATTGCTAACTGCTGCTATAAACAAAAAGCTATCAGACAAAAACAGTAACCCAGGATGTAAGCAAGAGGATTAGAGTTGCTTCCAATCATCAAGCAAAACACATTCCCATTAGGACTAATCTAACAAGGGCTATGTTTTGGCATGAAGGACTCTGTAATTTGTTTTTTTTGTGTGTTTTTTTAACTGAATTTGGGGAAAGGAATAAAAACAAAATAACCATGCCATGTAGAAGAGACAAGATGGCTCCTTCCCTTCATCTCTTGATCAAATGCTTAGCTTTGGTGACACGCAGAAAGCTACCACTGTGTTTCCACTAACACATATTTTCCTTGGGGTAGCTTTTTATTTGGACCTATGGTATGAAACTAACTGAATATTCTGCAGAGATATTCCTGATGTTTCCAAAATAGAGAACATCAAATTAGTCCAAATCATTCTTACATAGAAAAAGGAAGTAAAAGGTTAAAGGCAAATAATTTTTCATAATTCATCATTTATGATTATGGAAGAAAAGTAGTATTTCAGAATTTGGTTATCTTTTTAGTCAAGAAGGAAAAAGCAGGGCTGGGAATTTAGCTCAGTGGTTCCACCGCCTGCCTCACAAGCACAGGGACCCTAAGTTCAATCCCTAGTACCAAAAAAAAAAAAAAAAAGAAAAAGCAGAAATCATAGGTATGTAAATAAAGCATTTCCTTATGTTCTGAAATCACAAACAAAACAATAATAAGATCTGTTTTATCCACAGAAAAGCAAAGGTCGTGGACAATAACCTGGCTCACTGAGCATCCACAAGTCAGTGGTGACTGGGAGAAAAGAACTGAAGCCTTCTGACCCTCTATCTGTAGCAAGTGCAGTCTTCAGTTGTGTTAGTTTTGCCAGTCTTGGTTACTCCTGTTAAACAGCCTGGCATACTGTATGTGCTCAGTAAATATTTGTTGAATACGTTAACTCTATCAAAGGCTGCAGAAAGAAAAGGGCAATTCGATTTGGCAGCTAACTTCTTGATTCAAGCTGACTTCTTGAATTGCAAAAGCAATTTCAAAGGAGTGATTGAGATGGAAGCTAAATTACAATGGGATAAAGAGCAAGACTAGAAGGTGTGATATAAATACAGATGTACAAGGAACACAGCAGAATGGTCAAGAGTTCTATCTTTGGAGTGAGACTATTTGGGGTCTGAATGCCAGTTCTGCTATTTATTAGCTGAGAGACTGTGTAAGTGACTTAAAACTCTCTTTGCCTCAGTTTTACAATTAACAAAGTAAGCTTAATGATGCTATCCACTTAACAATGCTTAGAAGAATACTTAATACATAGTAAGCAGCCAGTATTATAGTTATTATTCTTGTAATGCAATTTTAATAAATACCTTGAACTTCCTATTTTGAGATGATTATAGTATACATGCAGTTGTAAGACATAACAGAGATCCCATGTACCTTTCCCCTAGAGTAGCATCTTGAACAAATATAAGTTAATATCACAACCAAGAAGCTGAATTTGATACAATCTATCTATGCTATTTAGATTTCACCAGTTTTACATGTACTTACTATGTGGAGGTATTTAGTTCTATGCAATTTTATCACATGTAAGACATTTGATTTTTAAGAATAAGGTAACTAATAGGAGGTAGTAGTAGTTATTTTTCATTGCTGGGACAAAATAGCTGACACTGGCTAATTAAAGGAGGAGAGACTTATGGAGGCTCATGGTTTCGGTGATTTCAGTCCATGGTCAGCTGGCTCCAAGGCACAAACTAGGGCAGAAGAGAATAGTGGAGAAAAGCTGCTTAATTCATGGCATCCAGGAAACAGAGAGCAGAAGAAGAGCCAGAGGAGAAGAGCCCTCAAGAGACCCACCCACAGTCACCCACTTCCTTCAACCAGGCCCCAACTTCTAATTGCACATTCAGGTATGAACTTATCAATGAATTAATCCTGTGATGAATGTAGCGATGCCAGCATCCAAGCACCGTCTCAAAGCTCCACTTCTGAAAAAAAAAGAGCCTTTTTGGAAGACATTTTTGACAAACCATAACAAGACTAGAGAGTAAAAATTTTGTTTTTTAAGGTAGGATAGATCTACTGCATGATGTACTAAGTAGGAAGAGAGCTGCTGAGGATACATGCAAGGGAAAAATTTGAAGAACAATATTCCTGAAGGAAGAAAAGGAATGGTAGCCAGCATGGGGAAAAGAAGAGATGAATAAAATGTCTTCAACTGAAATAAACTGGGGAAGTGAATATAGTTGAGGATATATCTTGTGAGGTAGGAGTGGAGAACAAAAAATTTTGAAGGGATTCATATCTAACAGGCTGTTACCTCTGAAAACAGATGGGTTCAATGGAGGTAAGAAATATACTCAACAGAATTGTTAGGTTTGAGAGGAAGTAACAAAAGAGCTTCTGAAATGTGTTGAAGAAGCAATATTCTGGGGGGTACTAAAAGGCTGATATCCTTCAGTCACTAAGATGTTCTGCTTAAATAATAACATATTTTTTAAATTTGCAGAAAAAATTCAACCACTAAATTGCATTTTTGGTTTTTTTAGTGAATAAGGAGTTTTAACAAGATTCAAAATTGCTAAACACAAAAAATTCACAAATTAAATTGTTTTAAAACTAAAAATGATATTTTTTTATACTTTACCACTGAAAGAGTAAAAAGGCAAAGTAGAGTAGAAGAAGATATTTGCAATTCTTAAACAGTATATATTAATATACAGGCCTACAAATTGATTTCATGCTTACAAATTAATAAGAAAAAAGCAGATAAACTTACGGAAATTGTCCAAATATATAAGTAATACTTACAGAATAAGATATCCAAATGACACATTAATATCAGAAAAACATTCAACTTCATTAATCATCAAAGAAATGTAAATCACATGCACTAAGTGCAAATTAAAACCACAGTACAATTTCACATTTTCAAAGAATGATTAAAGTGAAAAAATGTAAGTGTCAAGTGTAGCAAGGAGGTCTTTCAGATACCACTATGAGAATGTAAATTGGGACACCAGCTTTAGAAACTGGAATTCATTACTGCTCAACATTCACATGATCCAAGTATTCCATTTCTAGTTATATACTCAATAGAACTGTGAAAATATTCTCTACAATATATGTGCAGGAACATACTGTAATAGCTCCAAGTTCTAAACAATCCAAATTATTCACCTACAGGAGATTAAATAAATAAACAGTAGTATAATACAGGACTACTATGGGAATGAGAATTAATGAACAATTAATTATATGTATGTAACTGAATGAGTCTCATAAATATAATGTTGAGTGACGGAGGACAGATATACACTGAATGCAAAAAGTGCATGATAAATCTGTTTATATAACATTTATGTGGGTTGTTTTTTTTGTTTTTGGTACCAGGGATCAAACTCAGGACCTTGCACTTTCGAGGCAGGTGGAAGAACCACTGAGCTAAATCCCCGGCCCTGTTTACATAACATTGACAACAGGTCATCTTAGGGGAGAGGATGGTGATTCGAGAGGGGAATGCAGGTGTTCTGGGCACTAGTTACATGGATGTGTATAGCTTATGAAAACAGGAAAAACTAAAAATATGAATATAAAAAATGAATCTAATTAAAAAACTCAAAAGAAATGATAAATATTAGACCTCATATAGGTGAAGAAAGAAGAATAGAACTAGAAAACAGAATAAAAAGAAAGGACTATAAAGGAATAGAGTGTCCCCAAATCAAAGCCAACTCCAGACCCTTTCAACACTGTTAATAAGGAGAATGGCCTCTCATGGATGATGAAAGATAGAGATACAGAGCTGCACTGTGCT